TTATTTTTTATTTTTTTCTTTTTATATTTTTCTTTTTATTTTTTATTTTTGCGTATGACTCTTTCAATATGAAAACGTGGAACACAAAGAAAATACAAAATGTAGATAAGACCAAGAGAAAGAAGTACACTTATTTATTTGTTAGTATCCTTATTTGCTTGATAATTAGGATTTTTGTTTTTTTCCTTTTGAACATATTAGAAGGAAGTACTTATGAATACATAAATAAGTTGATAAATGTGGATATGAACATACAACATATAAAATATGATGAGAGGAGAGAATTCAAACAAAGTATAAATAAAATAAATAAAAAAGATATGGAAAAGATAAATCATGATGATAGAAATAATAAAAATAATATTTATAATATAGATTCTAATTATTATAATAAAATAGATAATAAAATTATTAAAACTAATATGTATATAAAAGAACTTGAACTATATTTTCAAAAAAATAAACGATATCATAATTTAAGAAGTTTTCTATTAAAAAATGATCATATGCATTATTTATTTAATACAGATATATATAATTTAAAATATTTATATGATAGTTATGTATTAAGAATATTAAAAAAAGATATCTATTCTTCTTTGATTATACGAATTAATCCAATTTTTTTAAAAATTTTACATTTCCTTCTGTTTAAACCATTAAAGACAAATATATATATATTTATAAAAATATTTAATAATTATGAATTTCGTTTCTTTTTATTTATATCTCTAATAGATATACTCATAGCTATTTTATTATTTTTAATAATAGAAAAATTAAATAATTGGAATACATATTTTCTTTATATTATTAGTAAAAATTATACAACAAATCATTTTCATATAATTAATCCTTTATTATTAATAAATATATATTTAAATAATCCCATTAACATCTTATCAAATAGTTTTTTATCTCTAGATAATTTTAAACTCTTAATTATAACAACAAGTTTCTATTTAACCATATCAAGAATACAAAATGTCTCAAAACAACCAAATCAAAATGTATATGAAAATAAATATAAAAGAATACGTTCCTTTTTGAATCTACTTCTTATACTTTTCCATGATGCCATATTATTATATGTCACATCTTTTCATTTTATATTGGTTGTTATAGGAATAAATAATTTTATTATATACATAGAAGAAGATTTTTTAAAACGTTATCATATAAATCAATGTGTAGAATTTTACAAACTTGCGCATATGCTATTCAAAAATCTCTTCTTGTTACTTATCACCTTAATTATATATGCTCTATTTATAGTAATATCATATTTTCAAAACTCCTATTCGCTAGTAAAAAAAAAGAAAATAAATATAAATATATAAATATATAAATATATAAATATATATATATATATATATATATATATATATGTGATATATTTCATTTCAAAGAGAACAAGAAGTGTCATATTAAATACATATTCTTGTTTACTATTATTTTATCTTTATTTTAGTCCTTTTTAAATAATACGGTGATTAATGAATATAAAATAGTATTACTCTTACCAAATTTGGGAAATTTCTGGTATATCTTCTCAACGGTACGATTAAATATATAAACAAATAAATAAATAAATGTATTGATTTATTTATGTATGTATATACGTATGTATTATATTTTATTTTTTATTTTTAGATGTTCAGAGATTATTACTATTCCTTTTTGTTCTTATTCCACGTAATGATAAAATAAATAATAAATAATAAATAATACATATGTACATAATATATAATATATATGTGGTTGTTTTTTTATTTTTTTATACAGTTTCATATTTTCCTTTATCCTGTTCCTCTTTTCTTTCGCTTGGTTAAGACACCACTCATATATTTAAAGGTTCTCATCGCAGTAAGGACCATAATATTATATATATTAAATTAAAATAAGACAATATAAATAAAAATAAATAAATAAATAAATAAATAAATATATATATATATATATATATATATATATGTGCGTGTATATATGTAATATGTTATTTTTTATTTTTTTTCTATTTTTTAGATTGCTTTAGTATTCCAACCAAATATAACAATTAACGACATTGTGTATTCTTTGGTATAAAATATATTGTATCATGAAAAAAAACAAATTACAAATATATTTTATCATTTTTATTTATTTTTTTTGTGTTTTTTATATAGTTGTTGTTGGTTATAGATTACGAACGGACCATATATGCTATCCCCTTCATCAAACTGGTAATAAGAAAAAAGACATCAAAAGGAAATACATACATATATATATATATATATACATACATATATATATATGTATGTATTTCCTTTTTGTTTTTATGATTTTTATTTTTTTTTTTTACATATTCTTTATGAATATAGAACTTAAAAATTATGAACGTTCATAATTTCTTTCCATTTTTTATTAAAATATTATGAACATGTTCATGTAAATTTTGACAAATGCACCCAATAAATAATATACACATATATATATATATATATATATATATATATATTTTTTTTTTTTTTTTTTTTTTCACATAGCTATTAATATTACTATCCAATTTGTGTTTATATTTTGTGACTTTAAATTTATGGTTGAGGAAAAATACTGGAAATGCTAACTACGTGTTTTTTAACCAGTTGGTTGTTTTTAATATAACAAGTAAGTATATAAAGAGAGATGATATTTTATGGTTCATATACAAGCATGTAAAAGATGCATAGGAGGACACACATATATATATATATATATATATATATATAAATATATAAATATATATATATATATATATTTTTTTTTTTTTCTCATTTTTGGAAACAGCCTTTTTTATAATAAACAGTATGAAGTTTTACATACGAGTTCAAACGCCCAAGAGTCAGTTGAATGAAGGAAAGTGTATTTCCATATTAAATAAAAAGAAAAGCAAGTTTAACTTTTTACAATTATTCAAGAAAAAATGGTCATAAAGAATAATATTTAAATATGTACATATTTATATATTATATTTATATATTTAAAAATGAGAAAAAGAAAGAAACAAAAAAAAAAAAAAAAAAAAAAAAAATAAAGAATATTCCTACTATATTATTTTATTACGTTTATATGACATCTTAGCAATATATATATATATATATATATATATATATTTATACACAACATTATGTTGCGTTCTTTTATCACTTTTTTATAATTAAAATATTAATATATTTACATAAATATATATATTAATACTATTATATATATATATATATATATATATATATATATATATATGTATATATGATTTCTATTTTATTATTATTTTGTTTATTATTTTATTATTTTTTCGTATTTCATTGTAATAATATTTATCCCTTATAATTTTAGAACATTTGCTTTTTTCATAATATGTTTTTTATAATTTTTTTATTATTTTTTTATAATTTATTTTTTTTTTTTGTTACATTTAAGTAACCAAGGGGGTTTTTGAACATATATTAATTTTTTTTATTATTTAATTTTTTTTTTTTTATATGTCAATGTTAATATTTAATATAGCATATAGCCAAATTTTAAGGAAAATAGAAAAAAAAAAAAAAAAAAAAATATATATATATAATAAACAATATATATATATATATAATATATATATATATATATATATATATATATATTTATATCAACTATATATATTATATTATATATAAATGGCCTCTGATAAGTTTAAATTCATTATATATGTAGAAATATATAAATATCATTCTTTCTACATATATAATATAATATATATATATATACAATATTATGGGGTAAAAAAAAAAAAATGTTCTTAATTTTCAAATCCGTTATATTTAATATTTTATATTTATTATATATAATATATATATATATATATATATAACATTTAAAGGATCATATATTTTCATCCATTCATTTCGTACATTTATTCTTATATTTTGTTGTGCAGATAAATAATAAATACAATATCCGAGGAGGAAAAGAAAAAAAAAAAAAAATTAGAGGGCAGCTTCTTGTATGTTATTTTTATATTTTACGCCCCCCCAAAAAATATATTTTTAATTATATATATATATATATATATAGTAATATTAAAAAAAAAAAAAAAAAAAATATATATATATATATATATATATATATATATATATATATATATTTATTTATTTATATTTATTTATTTATTTATTTTATTTATTGGTATGATAATATAATAACATAATAATTTATTATTTTTTTATTTTTATAAAAGTATAATATATTATACTATTAAGAAAAATAAAAAATTAAAATTACATAAAAATAAAATATAATAAAATAAAACAAATAAATATTAAATTATTATTGTTAAAACCATTTATCAATATATTAAATGGAAGAAAAGGAAGGAAACAACAATATTTTTTGTAACGTTTATAAATATATAATTTAAATATATATATATAATATATAAAATTAAATACCATTTTATGTGATAATTTTTTTTTTTATCTTGGAAAAAGTTCTTATATTAGAAAATAATAATAAAATATATAACCATGAATAAGATAATTTTTTAAAATATAAAAATTGTGTTTTATTTTTTGTTAACTTATGTATAAGTTTTTATAAATATAGTATTTTTTACATTTTATTTTTATATCACTTTATTATTTCATTTTTATTCTTTTTTTTTTTTTTTTTTTTATTTTTCGCTCTTCTTTTATTATTTGTAATTCCTATATATAAAATATAATTAAAGAAAATGGCGTTAAACATATTTAAGAAAAAAAAGTCAAAGGATAAAAAGGAAGAATTAAAAGATATCAAAGCAGGTACTGAACATTTACATAAATGGATACATAAAAGAAAAAAAAATAAAATAAAATTTCCATATATATAAATATATATATCTATATATATATATATATATACATCCATTTTATTGATGTCAATTTTTTTTTTTTTCATTTTTTGTGATACGAAAAAACACCTTTTTGTAAAACGTCACATATGGTTTTCCTGTTTTGTATGTATATTTTTTTTTTAATGATGAAAAAAAAAAAGAAAAGCTGATAAAAAGTTGATGATTTTTATGCTATTTCACCAAGATCTCTGAAAAAAAAAAAAAAAAAACACATGACCATATATATATATATTTATTTATTTATTTATTTATTTATTTATTTATTTATATATTCATTTGTTTTATTTTATTTTTTTCCACGTGTAGATGATAGCAATGTTGATAACAAAGCCACCGAATCTACTGCTGTAGATTCCGAAGCCAAAGTGGAGATCACTAATAAGGTGTCTGAAAAAAAGAAAACCAAGAAAAACGAAGATAAAAAAAAAAAGAAAAAAAAGGATGATACATCAGAATCGTCCGATTCCTCAAGTGACAGTGATGATGATTCAGAAGAAGATAATAAAAAGGAAATCAAAAATGAAATCAAAAATGAAATCAAAAATGAAAACAAAAATGAAATCAAAAATGAAAACAAAAAGGAAAACAAAAAGGAAAATAAAAAGGAAAATAAAAAGGAAAATAAAAAGGAAAATAAAAAGGAAAATAAAAAAGAAGTAAAAAAAGATGATTCGTCTTCAGATTCCGATTCTAGCTCAGATTCAGATGATTCTGATGATTCAGATGACTCCAATTCAGATGAGGAAGAAGAAGAAAAAAAAAAAGAGAAAGAAGGTGATAAGGTAGTTAAACCAAATAATAATACTAATAAGGTAGTAGAAAAGAAGAAGGCTGATACCAAAACAGATTCAGATTCAGATTCAGATTCAGACTCAGACTCAGATTCTGATTCAGACTCTGATTCAGATGATGATGAAGTAAAAGACGAGAAAAAAGAAACTGGAAAAAATAAAGAAGAAGTAACAAAGAATAAAGGAGGGGCAAAAGCAAATTCCGATTCAGATTCGGATTCAGACTCCGATTCTGATTCTGACACAGACTCAGATTCAGATTCAGATTCAGATTCTGATGAAGCTAAAAAACAAAAAGATGACGATAAACTAAAGACAAATAAAGCAAAGAGTACACCCAATTTAGAAGTGACGGAAGAGAAGAACGATTTGAATGGTGTTGAAAGAAAAAACAAAAGGAAGAATATAAATGTAGAAGAAAATAAAAAAGGCAAAAATAAGAAGCAAAAATTAAGTAATAATGTAGAGACTGATAATATGAATGAGAATAATATGAATTTACAAGATGATGGAAATTTGGTAAATGAAAAAGGAGAATATATATTGACTATGTTAAATATTAGTCGAGAAACTACAGATGTAGATATTCGTAGCTTTTTAAAAGATCACTTAGAGACAGATTATAGTGAGGACACTATATATGTACATATAAATATGCATAATAATAGTGCATATATATATTGTTGTGAAGAAAAAGTAAAAAATAAACTTTTATCAATGCATAATCAAAAATTTAATGGGGTACCTGTGAATTTTCTTGATAATCCACATATAGATAAAAAGATAATATTACATCATACTAGTAAAGATACATCACAACAAGATATAAGAAATATGTTTGAACAATATGGATATGTTGTGGACGTGTACTTTCCTAAGACATATCCAAAGGTATTTGTACGTTTTGATAATCTACAGAGTTGTATCAAAGCACTAGAACAAGATGGATGTCTTTTAAAAGATAAATTTATACAAGTAAGTTTAGTTTTAAATAATTCTATGCAGGATAATAACAAAAGAAACTCCGTGCATAATAATAATGGAATGAATAAGAATAGAGGAGGAAATAAAGGATTCTTCGGAAAAAAATTTAGTACCAACTCAAATAATTATAATAACAACAATAACAATGGAAATAATAATAATAATAATAATAATTATAATAATAACAATAATAATAACAAGAAAAAATTCTCCAAACCATTCAATAATTTTAAAAACAAAAAGAGTTTTAATTAATAAATAAAATTAATTAACGTATGCATTCATTTAGATAGATAAATATATATTTAAAAATATGTTCTTAAAAAAAAAAAAAAAAAAAAAAAAAAAAAAAAAAAGTAATAATAAAAAAAAAAAAAAATGCACATATATAAATATAAATATATATATATATATATATATATATATATTAAATATTCTTAATATTATTATTCTGTTTATATATATAACAGTTGTATTCATGTTACATTTTAAAAATTAATTAGTTAACATTTTCTTTCTTTCATTTTTTTTCCTTTTTACATTAATCAAAAAATCAACAAACATATAATTAAAATAAAACGTTCATTTGTTTTTAATTCAATATAATTAATTTGAAACTTAAAAAATAGAATTTTTTTTTTTTTTTTGAACTAGCCATAATGGACATATTAATCCAACATACTAGCCAAAATAAGAAAAAAAAAAAATATATATATACATAAATAAATAAATAAATAAATATATATATATATATATATTTGTATATAGGTATGGATTGTATGCAGTTGCGATTCATAGGAATTATATTAAAATATTTTAATACACATTTTATACACACATTCGAACTATTTTTTATATTTATCTCCTTTTCATTTGTATAATCTCCGCGAGAGCTGACCAGTCAGGCCTTTGTTTGTGTTCATAAATCAACATGTTTCTTAAAAGGAAAAATAACTCTGGTTTTGTTATATATGATTGCATCATTTCAACTTTACTTTGGAAAAGGTATTGGTCATTAATATAATATAAGATATCTTCATTCATCATTATAATATAATAGAAACATAAGCCTAAACAGAATATATCATTTTTATAAAAATATTTTTCTATATGTTTGGTTTTTTTTTTTTTTCTTTTAGTGTCTACAATGGACATTTTTTTGTTTAAATAAAAAAATATTTCAGGTGATATATATTTAGGAATATTTTTCTTTTTATGTATAACAAAAAAATAGAAATTTTGTAATTTTAATCTTGGTATAAAATTTCCAAGTAAAATATTCAAACCATCATTACTAATAAATAAATTGGATGGTTTAATATTCCCATGACAAATATTACAATCTTGTAAATAGCACATAAGTTTAATAATATTACATAAATTTTTATATATCAATTGATTATTAAAATGATATTTTATATAAGGTTGTACATTTTTTGAAATATGTTTTTTTATATTTCCATTTAGGAGGAAAGGTGTTAAGAAACCTGCTATGCTCGATTCTGTGTGAACATTTTTATTTTTTAAAATTATTATATCACTATAAGGTAAGACACTAATTTCTTCATAATTTATTTCTTTTTTGTTATTTCTTTCTATAATAGATTTATTTTGTGTTCTTATGTTATTTTTATCAATGGGTTGTCTTGAGTGTTGATTTTTTATGTGTCCATAATCATTCCCATTATTATGATTGTTTTCTTTGTTTTTTTCGTAATCCTCCTCATTCTCATTATAATTATTAACACAATACTCTTTATATTCATATAACTTATTTTTAATATATTTTCCTTCATTTATAAGGATATTTATATTAAGACCATATTGTTTAGCTTCAGAAAAAAAGAATTCTCGATTATCTATAATGGTGTCTTCACACTCCATTAACTTTATATTATATAAATATGTTTTATATGGCTCCACTTCATTTCCTCTATAATAATAATAATTATTATTACTATTTAAATTATTATTACTATTTAAATTATTACTACTATTTAAATTATTACTACTATTTATTTTATTATTTGCTCTATCATAATTTGAAAGCCTTCTATGATGTCCCACTTTTTGTTCATTATTGTCTTTATGGTTTTCATTATAATATTCCTTCTTTAAATAATCAAGTAAATAATCTGGTTCCACATTCAAATTAGGTATATCTATACGAAATATATAACAAGGTTCATTTTTTATTATAATGTCAAATTTTTCATCTATTGTTTTTATATGAGAAAGTTTCTCTTTAATATATTTTTTTTTATCATTTAATCTTAATAATATTTGATTAGCTTTATTCATTTCCTTATCATTATTTTCATCAATAAATGTATCTGAATTGTTCCCCATATTTTCATCTTCTAAGTTTTCACACACCCTGTGTGTAACATTTAATAATTTATCCACTTTATTTAAATGCTTCTTACAATTATTATGAACTATGTTACCATTATATTTTATAACATAACTATATCCAAATTTATTATCATTACCTTCATTCTCAATAACAAATACAAACTCCTCTGGCCACACTATTCGACTTCTTAACATATTCCATTTACTCATATTTATGCAATCTCTTTTCGCGTGTTATTTTTGTATAACATACTAACATATTCACCAACTAGCTAAACACAAAAAAAAAAAAAAAAAAAAATTTATGTATATCATAAATATGAATGAACAAGTCAGGCAAAAACATGCATTATTTGAACATTAATAATTTGACAGTACAAATAAAATAATATAATATAAATATATAAACATAAATATATAAACATAAATATATATATATATATATATATATATTATTATTATCTATAACCACAGAAAAAAAAAAAAAAAAATTAAACTTTGAATTGTTCTTTGGTAATATACTCATAAAATGTTCAATAGTAAATATTAAAATTTACAACGGAAAATGGTTCATAAAAAAAATGAAGGAAAAATTCACAATGTTCGGTACACATAAAAAAAAAAAAAAAAAAAAAGAAACAAATTAAAAAAACTAAAAAAATTAAAAAAATAGAATTAATATAAATATATATTCATGTAGGTAGAAAAAATTACACTAAAAAAAATTTTTTTTTTTTAAAAAATATATAAATATAAATATAAATACAAATACAAATATATATATATATATATATATATATATATATATATATATATATTTTTTTTTATATTGAGAGTCATTTTTTAAAACTTTTAATCTTAAAAAAAATATATATATTTATAACATATATTCTTTAACGTGATATTATTAAATGAAAGGGAAACTTTTTGTCTTCATTTTCTCCAGCAAATTTTCTAAAATAATACAGAATATATCCCTATAAAATTAAACAAATAAATAAATAAATAAATAAATAAATAACAATGTAATAACATCAAGTGCATAAACATTAACAATATTGTTAAT